GACACACAGTAGGTCCCCGTGTGCAGATCTGCTCACAGCTCCAGCCTAAGCCCAGAACACACAGTAGGTCCCGTGTGCAGATCTGCTCACAGCTCCAGCTTCAGCCCAGGACACACAGTAGGTCCCACTGGATGTTCTTGGTGTCCTCTGTCCAGGTGGAAACGGCTCCCTGTCACCACAGTGTCATTTCCCCTCCTAGCTGCACAGGACACCTCTGTCACCTCTCTCCACCCACCCCTGGTCTCCTCTCCATGTCCCAGTGTCCCGCTCTCCCTCCTTCGCTCACCTCACCCACACAAGCTCTCAGGCTCTGCAGTAACATGTCCCCATTTTCAGGCTGAGGCTGCTCTGTGTTGTGGTCCCTGGTTCAGAAGTAACTGTGTCCCCTGCATGTGGAGCCCTGAGGAGCAGCCTTGTCACTGTGGCCTACACATGGCCCCATAGGAGCTGGGGACTCCGTGCTGTGGTGTTTATCTCGACCTTGATCTATGGCTCTTTTCTGTGTCTTTTTAATTTTGGGGGATTATTTTACTATTATTATAAGATCTTTATAAGGCAGTGTTAAACCACTTAGCCATAGCTCTCCTAAAACTGTATAGACAAGGCCAACCTTGAACTCACAGCAATCTGCCTGGCCCTGCCTCCTCGTGCCGACGTTAGAGGCTGGCCCACACGTGAGAGGACGCCCACAGCACAGTGCTCTGTGCAGTCTGCAGCTGCCCAGGAAGGGAGGAAGGAGGCAGTTTCATGGTCTAGCTCAGGGGTTATCACCCTCCTAATGCTGAGACCCTGTAACACATTCCTCACGCTGTGGTGACCCAAGGAAGAAAACTGTGTCATTATTACTGGATAACTGTAATTTTTCTACTGTTATGAATCAGAGTGTGAATATCTGATATGCAGAATTCCATGATTTGCAACTCTGCAGAGGAGTGATCCACAGACTGAGGACCTCTGCTCTAAAATTTCCAGATAGGCAAATGTTGAGGAGATAATCTGCAGTGATATTTAAGAGCAAAGAATTGTACTTGACTTTACATTGGGTAATACATGTCCAGTTAAAATAACGTATTTTCTAATACACATTTTCATGTATACAGTGTGTGTGGACACATGGGAATGTTAAGTCAGAGATGTGTGTGTGAATGTGAGTGTGAGTGTGTGTGTGAGTGTGTGTGTGTGTGTGTGTGTGTGTGTGTGTGTGTGTGAGTGTGTACACATTACTTCTGTGGAGGCTAGAGGAGGGCCTCAGGTGTCATGCACAATATTTTTGGGGACAGGCTCTCCTGCTGTCTTTAAGTTTGACATGGAGATTAGGTTGGCTGGCCAGTGTGCCCAGGGCCGTGCCTGTCTCCTCCTCCTCCTGGGATTACAGCTCACTCAACTCTGTGCGCTCTGGAACTACATACATAGACCAGGCTGGCTTTGAACTCACAGAAATCTGCCTTCCTTTGCCTCTGCCTCTTGGGCTAAGAGTCATTCCCTCCTCTCCTGCTCTTCATGTGAACATGAACTATTAAACTCAGATGCCAAGGCATGAGCAACAAGCCCGCTATGGACTAATCACAGCTGTGTGTTACATACTTTTATGTCAAAAGTCCCTGTGTTTCTACGGCTTAGTTATCTGGGAACAAACGCAAATCTGAGAACACAGCCAGGACAGTGGGGAGTGTGCATTTGAGCTTGCTGTCCTGAGCCTCAGCCTTCAGCAGTTGCTCCCCTCTCTGTGGGGACTTCTCACAGCTGCTCCCATCCCACAGAGGAGACAGGGGTGACACTCAGCCCTCCCTCCCTCCTCCAGGAGCATGTGCTCACTTCTCACCTCTCCCCAGCAGGCAGCACCACCATGAGGAGCCCCTCCACCCTCCCCTCTGCAGTCACCACAGCTGGAAGCAGGCACACAGAGGGCCAGAGGAGCCCTTCACTGGTGACCCTGGGAGCCATGGTCGGGATGGTGGTAACCAAGGCAGTGCTCATAACTGCCATCTCTGTGTTGCTGATCTTCCTCTGGTGGAAGAAAAGGTGAGTGTCCAGGACAGGCCTTCACCTGACTGTCCCCCCTGGGAGTGTTCTCAGCTGTGGGGGATGGAGAAGGGCCTGTGCAGGGAAGAGTACAGAGAACAGAAGGAAGGAGAGGTGGCTGAACTCAACAAGGACTGACTCTGGCCTGCTGTCCTTAGAGACCAGCTGGGAGTCAGAGGAGCAAACGCAGATGAACACAGAGCCTGCTCTAAAGGCCTGCAAGTGAAAGGAACAGGCTAGCTTTACAGGTTTCTTTATGATTTTCATACCCCATATTAAACTAAATTCTCCAAGACTTTTCCAGAAAGCAGAAGGACACGGATGAAAGGAGAAGCAGGTGAACTGAGACAAGACCCCCTCCCCACTGCAGGGGAATGAACAGGCCAGCAGTTTCGAGATAATGCTGAGCAGCAAGTGCTCCAAAGTTCTCCACCACACTGCTGAAGAATGTCCAGGACTACAGTATGAGATAGGGTTGCCTGGCAAATGGTCCATCCTCACTAGGGATGATCTTCTCTAGATCCCACCACTTCCCTCCAAATTTCATGATTTCCTTGTTTTTAATTGCTAAGGAGTATATCCCTTTTGTAAATGTATAACAATTTCTGTATCCATTCCTCAACTGAGGGACATCTGGGTTGTTTCCAGCTTTTGACTATTACAAATAAAGCTGCTGAGAACATGGTTGAGCTAATGTCCTTATTGTATACTTGAGCATCATTTGGATATATGCCTATGAGTAGTATAGTTGGGTCTTGAGGTAGCACTATTCCTAATTGATGGCCATAGCCCCCCCACCCAGGACATTCCAAGCGTGACTTAAAGATCAGATATCCTCCAGATGTCCGGGGCAGGACTGACTGGACTTGGGCACCTAAAATGAACCAATCATTTTAAAGTCAACCACCCTACAGCCCCTTTACCCAATCGTAAGCTGCCAAGCCTGCAACCCCCGAGCTTCCCCGTCCTTTTTCCTTTAAAAACCCAAAGCTTTTGTCTCTTCAGCCTGTTCCTCAATGGTTTTGAGGCCAGCCCCATCACTGGAGGGCTTGAATAAACCTCTCACAATTGCATCAACTCAGTCTCCAAGTTCCCTTCCTCTTTCCCCCAGAAGTTGAGCTTCTGCTGGGCCTAACACAAGGAGGCATGCAGGTGCCTTTAGGGGCCAGCTACTCACTGGGAAGGAGCTATTGTCTGAGGGGAGACCAGCATTCAGGGACAACACCTCACAGGAAGGGAAAACTGACAACTGAGTGAGCTGGGGATGTCTGATCAAAATGAGTGTTGAGAGCATGGTGTGCAATAGACTCTTAGATAGAAAGACAATGTGTAGGAAGAACCTGAAGACTAAAAGAGGCAAGGTTAAAGTTATTTTTGTAAAACTGTGTTTGTCAGTCTTAACCCAGCTATCATACAAAGAACTGAGACTCTATTATATTAATTTAATAATAAACTTCACAGCACAGGAACTGAGCAGTTATTGCTCAATTCTAAAACCTCTAAGCTAATCTGGATTCCTCTGAGTGCACATCACAGATATACTTACACTTTGTAGCTTTCTTTTCTGAGTTCTCTCCTGGTCCCTCCTGGATATCGGCCTGTCTCTCCCTCAACTGGCTTAATAACCCCTACTTCCTCCTCTATTCCTCCTCCCCTGGCTGGCAAGAAGTCCAGCCCTATTCTCTCCCCTGCTCATTGTCTGGCTTTATTGCTATATCAGGGGACTAATGGGAACACAGATTATACAACACTAAGACAGAAGATTCTCAGAGCATGACTTGCAACCAGATATAGGGGATACAGAAATCAGCAATTAAATTATACAATAACCTTTATTCTGACAAGGCAAAAGATTTATCTTTCTGCTTCTGGGATACCTCACTAGGGATAACCTTCTCTAGATCCCACCACTTCCCTCCAAATATCATGATTTCCTTGTTTTTAATTGCTAAGGAGTATATCCATTGTGTAAATGTCCAACAATTGCTGTATCCATTCCTCAACTGAGGGACATCTGGGTTGTTTCCAGCTTTTGACTATTACAAATAAAGCTGCTGAGAACATGGTTGAGCAAATGTCCTTATTGTATACTTGAGCATCATTTGGATATATGCCTATGAGTAGTATAGTTGGGTCTTGAGGTAGCACTATTCCTAATTGTTGGAGTATATACTAACTTATAAGTGGATATTAGACAGATAATATAGGATAATCATACTAAAATCTGTACACCTAAGGAAGCTAATCAAGAAGGAGGACCCTGGGGAAGATGCTGAATCTTCATTCAGAAAGGCAAACTGGATGGACATTGAAATTGGGAGAAATCAGGAAAATGGACAGGAGCCCACCACAGAGGGCCTCTGAAAGACTCTACCCAGCAGGGTATCAAAACACATGCTGAGACTCATGGCCAAACTTTGGGGAGAGTGCAGGGAATCTTATGAAAGAAGGAGAAATAGAAAGACCTGGAGGGGATAGGAGTTCCACAAGGAAAACAACAAAGACAAGAAATCTGGGCAAGGGGATCTTTTGTGAGACTGATACTCCAACCAAGGACCATACATAGAGATAACTTAGAACCCTTACACAGAAGTAGCCAATGGCAGGTCAGTATCCAAATGGGTTCAGTAGTAATGGAGACAGGGAATGTCTCTGATATGAACTCATGGGCTGGTTCTTTGATCACCTTCCCCTGAGGGGAAGATGACCCTTACCAGCCTCAGAGGAAGACAATGAAACCAGTCCTGATGAGACCTGATAGAGTAGGGTCAAATGGAAGGGGAGGAGAGAGTGGACAGAGGGAGGGGCATGGGAGAAGAATAAAGAGGGAGGGTAGGATTGGGAGGGGGTGAGGGAGCAGGCTACAGCTGGGATACAAACTGAATAAACTATACTTAATATAAATAAAATTTAAATTTAAAAACATTTTTTAAAATATGTGTACTCTGAAAACATTAACAAACTTGAATGAATTTACAAAACGGGTAGTGTGATGGCTCAGTGGTGAAGTGTTTGCCCCACAAATACAAGGACATGAATTTCATTCCCCAAACCCACATTAAGTGTTGGCAGATTCGTACACAGGCAGAGACACTGGGATCCCTGGGGCTCAGTGTGCTTTACCTACTGGGAAGACCAGAGCCAATGACAGACCTGTCTCAGGAGCTACGGTGGAGAGCTCCTACAGGACAGTTCCCAGGTTGTCCACGACCATGCACCTGTGTGTGCACATATGCAAATATTCACATACGTGTGTACTGCGGGACAGTAAATTTGTAAATAATAAAGGCAATACTAAAAAATGTAAGGCTATCCTCAAAACAGAAAATTCTATTCATTATGTCCTTACAACACAAAACAACCTAAAATTCAGTGCAATCTCTATTTGAATACCAATTGCATTTTAGTAAAAATAAATGATTTTCTCTTCTAACAATTATAAATATTCTAAGAAACAAACATGGAAACAAAGTGAGGAACACACCATACCCAGAACTTCAGAAATGCAGAGAGGTGAATCAGGAGGTCAAGGCCATCAACAGACACAAAAAAAGTTGAAGGCCAACCTGGACTCCACAAGACCTTGTACACACAAAATAGAGCCAAATGTGGACACGGCTTAGAGGAGATTCAAGGCCAGGGAGACTAGAAGACACAGGACAGGGTCAGAGATGAGGAGGGAGTGGGGTGTGATGGAAACCCAGAAATAAAAACTTGACTGTGCAGCCCCTGGCAGAAGGGCTCAGCCTCCAATAGGAAAGAAGAGCAGCTGAGAGGTTGGACAGCAGCAGCCTGGGAGGCAGGAGAAGACTGAGCAGGACTCAAACCAGGAGGCAGAATCTACAGGGAGGCAGCAGCCTGCACTCAGAGGGAAAGCTGGAGAGACAGGCCCCAGGGAGGGAAAAAGGAGGCATGGAGAGTGCATAGGAGGGACAGAATGAAGGAACAAGAGGTCAGGGAAAGGAGCAGAGGGACACAGGGCATGGCCATGGCTCAGGGACCAGTAGAGCTTTGCCCTGTGTTGAGCA